GATGTYTATGACCTAGCAAAATATTAAGTTTCCTATAAAATATCATTTTTATAATATATACCATCTTACTAAAACTCTTTAAGAGCCACCATTTGAAATAACAGATATATAGAGTACCACCCAAAAATATATAACAAATAAAACATATAAAAGATATGATTGCAGAATGTCATATCTTTCTTTTACACACTGTATACTTATTATCCTCAACATGGATATAATATAATGAWATATACAATTATACTCTATTTTYTTTACAATTTTTAATTTTTAAACGACTACAACAAAGCTTTTAGTTTAACATAAAATATCGAAAAAATACATCTTTGAAGTAGGTACTAGGTACCTATACTTTGATTCAAAAAAAAAGGTTTACGTCTGTGCTCGACAGCTGGAGTTCATAAAATCAAATTCGGAAATTTAGAAAAATTGTCACCCTGACACCCTGTAAGTATACGTCTTATTCGGTTGCTGCTACTATCGATGCAGATGGCGTCCAATTCTTATTTGATATATATTTGTATGTATAAAACACTCGCAGCGCTCTCGTCGCAACAACCATTGGTACCTATTGGTATAATTATTACATCAGCCGTTTCATTGTATACTGTGATTGTATGGTATGTATGTATACATTATTATATAAATTCAATTTTCTATCTTAGATCAAGATCCACTTTTACTTTTTTATTTTTTCGCCTTCCATGAACGCCTGGCGATTTCTTTGTTCACTGTACTGTACACAAATTCGCAAACSAACCAATTTCAATTCCATTAGAAACGATAAGGCCAGTTCATCCCTTTTAAGACCCCGAACAAAAGTTATAGTGCGTAAATTTATAACGTTCAATGTTTATATTTAAAATATAAAACATAAACCAAATAAATCCTAGATGCTATATAAAACAAATGATGGCGGTGGTTGGTTGTCTAATGTCTATTTCATCTATAGTGGTTTCGACGTTTATTTTATTTTCTATAGTACCTACCTTTATAATTTGGGGATATAATTTTTTATTGGGCTTGCATCAAACGTTAAAATTGTCATTCTGCATGTAAATAACTATAAACATGAATCATGTTTAGGCTTAAATAATGAGAAGACTTCAGACAATATAAGGTAATAAGGGACAATAAATTAAGCTATATAGAGTATGATATAAACAAAAATCAAATTTAATATTTGGGTGGATCATATAACTTGATAATTATAYGTCCTTGGGCTCGTGGGAAAAAATTTCGGATTGGCGTAGCACACCCATCTACTTTTTTCCAAGTAATTACCAACAGGACTGATTTTGTGCATAATATGACAGTACAGTACACCAGATTTATAACATCGTCCTTTCCAATCTACACCTACCTTGCAAATACTTTTTGGAACAGTCTAAAATGTTAATTTAGGCACAAATTTTTATATACCTTATACAATATAATTTAAATAGTTAAATACAAGTTACATGATTATGTTCATAACACATAAACATTTGCAGAACAAAATGTTAATACAATTAAATGAAAAACTACCTAGATAAAAAATATGCAATCACACTCACATCTATAAATATAATTGCAAATTTTTATTTTTAAAGTTAAATTTACATTAAATTATAATCTTATTATATCAAGTAAATGTATCATTATAATATTATATACATTTGACGATTTTTAACGACGAATATTGGAATAACACATAATGCCTTATTTCCGGATCGATAATTTCATTGTTGGTACCTACTTAGTGGTGGTTATTGTAATAATTATTTCAAAAATTAAAATAGACATAGGTATAATGTGTATGCATGTATAAGCTAWGAAATAAGTATTAAAGTATAACAATATTTAAAATCGTCGATTGTTGACGTTATAAGCTACCTTGAGATTTATTCTACTACTGCAGTGGATTAAACGTTTTAATATTTAAACAATTTAATTTTATAGTCGAGTACGGTATATATCTTCTTAAGTTAGTTAAAGTAAAAGTAAGTTAAACATACAACGTTGCCATTAAATAACATTACAATGTCATAATAGATACACAAAGTATGTAGGTATACGAACGAATAAATAAATTATAAACTATATTAATAAATCCGGCACACCATCAGGGATGCGAGATTTATTTTTTTTTTAAATATGGGGCATTTTAAATAATTTCAATAATTATTAATTTTTCAATCATTATTTAAATATTAAAATGCTAAATGATAATAAAACATTACATTTTTTTAAATAATTTTAAAATAAGGTGCATATAGGACGGAGGGTAAAACACGATTGCGTACGTTCGTTATCGGCGATACACGATTCCGTACGATTTTACCTGTTTTTTAACTACACGATTGCGTA